ATCTGGAACTATGTGGGATGTAGAAGAATTTAGGGGAGCATCGACTGTACACTTTCTTAGATAAATACTGGTTGATTAGATTCAAAGGGTTTATTTATAAAAAGGTAAAGTTAGTGGGGATTGCCAGCCTGGGTGGCCTTTGTGCAACACGAGGTGAGATGGTTCGAACCAAACGGGGCAGGGCAGGACCGAGGATATCAGAGAGTTTAAATGAGTAATTCTCTAGTTGGGTTGAGGTATGACAACTAGTGTAGAACCTTCGGGTGAACTATTTAAATAGATACCCAAAAGGTGCACATGTGGCTTGATATACTTTCATAGATCTAGAAATATACTTGCAGCATGTAACAATATAAAAATGTAATAATATTTAATATTACTTCTAATAAAGTTCACCTATTATGGCAATTTAGCAATATAAAAAAAAATAATAATGATAGCCTTTTTTGCTAACAAGTTCTTTTTTAATATTTTAATTTTTTTTAGTAAAAACTATTTTTGACAGCTTTTTTTCAAAAATAATCTATTGCATATATTATTAATATTACTATATTTAAAGAATATAGAAATTTCTTATAAGAAAAGATAAGGTGATGTGTTAACTATATGATTCTATTAGATTTTGGGTTTATTATAGTTAATATTAAAATTATAATAATTGAAGTTTTTAATTTAGGCCAATTTTTAAAAATTGTTATTATAATAAAGTTTATTTTGTTGTATTTAAATTTAGCAAAAAAGCTTTTAGTAATATAGTTTTGAAGAAATAAAATATCAAAAAAAAGTATTAAAAGAAATAACATGATAGCAAAATAGACTATTGTACTAGAAACCATTAAAAGGTTAAAGCTTAAAATTTCGTATATATATATATATATAACTATAATAAATATTTACCAAAAGAATATTGAACTTGAAAAAATTTTATAATATTATAGTATTATAATTATGTTATGCTAATTAAAAATTTTAAAGCATTATATTTAAAATATCCAAATTATATTTCTGATCTTTTAATTTTAGTTTATTCAAAATATAATTTTAGTTAACTCATACTAAAGCATCAACCTGTTAGTTTACTTTAGATAATAAATAATATTTAGAAATTGTAGTGAGATCTCAGTTATAGTATATATCTTTGAACCTGATTTGAAAAGTGTAGATCATAAAAAGGTTGGGTGGGCTTGGGTGTTCGCTATATCTTGAGGTAATACTGATAGGATACCAAAGGGTTATCTATACAAAAAAGCAAGTAATATCAATAATGAATATAAATACACTAGTGTTTTATTAATATGATGGGTAGGATTAGCTAGAGGGTTTAATAGTTTGGTTGCAGATATGGCAGCTAGTGTAGAACCTTCAGATGACTATTTAAATTAGACATCAAAAGTGTACATGCGGCTAGTTGTACTCTCACTGTAAAAATTATTTTTAATAAGACTTCTGTAGTTGCTAACAACTAAAACATCAAAAACCACTAGTCTCCAGATATTAAAATAAAAAAAAAATTTACAGCAATACATATGTTAAAAATTTGTATTATCTCTTTACTTAGAACTTTGGTTAGACTTCTGTTCTCTATTCTCTTGGTTTTGTGCCTAGTAGACTTATTATAAGTTGCACTAAATCTGGTACCAGCTTGCATTTATTTGTATAACATTATACAAATACCCAAGCTTTTAGTCTTGTTAATGTGACCAAGACCACAGATATTCTAACCTGACTAATTGACAAGAACAATATATCATATCACAAACAGAATTTTTGAATATTCCGCATCTAGAGGAATCAAACACTTGTCTGCTACCTGGAATAACAATCCATTTTCACAAAGGTCAAAATCTAACAACTTAACTACTTCACCAATTTTTTATTTTAATAATAAAATAATTAAATATTATTTTAATAAAACTAAGTGGCAAAGAATTATGTTAAATTAAAAAAAAGATAAAAATTAGTGAATTAATATTTTCATACCTTTTTTTGATATTTCTACACCCCTATGTAGATTACTTTTTTAAAGAAGATAACTTGACAACCACCTAATCAAATTTGATTATTTCTTTTATTTGAATAAAAAAAAATTCATCGAATTTGATCAGATATTTGTCGAGATACTTCGATTAAATTTTTAAAAAAACTTTAACGTCTATCAAAATATTAACCACGGCAAAATTTTATCAACAACTTCCCGATCAAATTCGACGAACCTTTTTTTATTCGAACGTTATGAACCTATAGATTTCAAAAAAAAAATTAATAATTTATCCAATTTAATCAGACGGTTGTCGAGATACCTTCGATCAAATTTTTTAAAGGGATTTTCATGGGGTGTGGAAATACGTATCAAGAGAAGTTGTTGGTCAATTCCCCGACACCGTAATGCAGACATGCCATTTCATCTAAAGCACAATTTTTCTATGTTCAACATTAAATGTTTTTCAACAATTCTTTTTCTTATACAAGACATTTTCCTGACGATAATCATTTCTTCGACATAAAATTGGCCCGATCTAGCATTAGAGTTGGCCCGATTTAGAGCTAATGTTGGTTAGAATTATATGTCGGGAAATAATTGTTAGGGAAATGTCTTGTCTAAGAAAGGGATTGTAAATAATATGTACAGTGAAACCTCTACAAATGCACCCTCTATAAACTCACACCCTCTCTAAATGCACGCTAAATCTCTGGCCTAAATCTATGAATGACCTCTATAAATGCACTTTTTCTTATTGTTCTCTAAATGCACGTTGTTAGAGTTCAGTCACGAGAGCGTGCATTTATGGAGGTTTCACTGTAATAACAAATAAATGTTTTATCGACATTACGGTGTCGGGGTACCAACTCATATTTAAGATTTGATTTGATAATTGAAATAGATTCCTAAATAAGAAATAAAAAATGGGGTTGATATTAGCTCAAAAAAGAATAAATTAATAAATAAAATAAACATAAAAAAAAAAAAAACCAATTAATTCTGTGCTTTAATATATTTCACCTTTACTACATAAGTATTGTAATAATTAATTTAAACTAAACTTTATTATCACGACCTATATCAGATATTGGCATAGGAGGTACGTACGTACGTACGTACGGTGTTTACTAATTTGGTTCTACTAGTTATTCACATATTGGAGTTCTGTGCTATTAATCAACTTTATAGTGCCCCGGTAACGAAATGTGGAGAAAATTAGTAAACACGTATGTACTGTACGTACGTACGTACGTACGTATGTATAATCGGGCAAATGATTGAATCAATGGCGTAACCTGTCACAGATTACGAATGTGTTTTAGTGTTACAATTCAGCAGAAATATTATAAATGCTGATGGGTACCTGAATTTGGCTCGTTTGAGTTTAGTTAACTCCTCTTAATAATCTTTCGAAAAACCTTTCTCATACGTCCGTACGCACTTTATAACTACAGTACAACCATAAGAATGTTTAATTATGTTGACTACGAATTTCAAAGATTCATTTTCTCTGTTAGGCATAATTTTTATTTTATCGCAATATTTTCTCAGTGGTCATTCATTTAAACCTGAACCACGAGGAGGTCATATGGCTACATTGGTTAATGATAGAATTTATTTCTTTGGTGGTTCACGTCCTATACCTATGACCTCACCTGCATGGAATCAAACTCATCAATTTAATCTATCGGATGAAGTGTTCTATTTGGATCTTTCTTCTTCATTTTCTGTTGATTTACCCCCATTCACAGATCTTTCTGCTACTTCGCGAATGCCATTTGGCTCTGAAAGGGGAACAACGGTATTAGGAATCAGTGGTGTACGTATATTTCTTGTTGGTGGGGTGCAGCAAAATATGGAAACATTTAGTTATAACACAACAAATTCTAGTCTTTGGATATATAATATAAATTCACAAAACTGGGACACTAGTGGGCCAGGGACTTATGGACCACCACTTCCCAGGCGCAGATCCACTGCAACAGTTATTGATAAAAATGGTGTAATTTTTATATTTGGTGGAAGGGTGGGACCGGATACCGGTTCAGACGTATTTATAGTACTTGATGATTTATTTACACTTGACACTACATTATTTAAATGGTCAAATATTTCACTTCCTAATCATCCATCACCACGAAACCTTTGCACTGCAACTTTAATGCCCGATGGAAAAATTATTTACATAGGTGGAGTTACTCAATCTTCCCCTGGTCAATCTCCAACTCGTATAAGTATGAATGAGGTAATTAATTTTTAAACTCGTAATATATGCATAAAATTAATAGGATAATGATAATGGATTGATTAGTATCGACTATTCGTCTCAACGAGATGAGGAATATTGTATACCCTACATTTATTAACCATAATTTAAACCACTTTGTCATTGCAATATAAAAATTTGATATCTTAAATTTAGATACATATTTTTGATACTATTGCTTCAGCATGGTCGCAGAAAGTATATATTTCTTCATATGAATTTTTCTATTGCCTTGAAATTTTTAATAAAATAAGTAATTATCCTAGTCAGCTTTAGGAGATGTTGATCCTCGTGTTGGACACACTGCTCTTCTAGGTAAATCAATATAATTATGTTTATACAAGCTTATACTTATATTCAAAGTAATTATAACTAATATTACTTACTTTATTTCAAAGCACCAGATAATCACACTATTATCATATTAGGAGGAACACAAGGCTATGTACTTAAGCAGATGACATCATATCCGGCTTTTGTATTGCTAGATGTTAAATCAGAACCCTTCCAATATTCATCTCCTCAACCTTCTGGAATAGCCCCTCCTCCATTGTCATATCATACAGCGACACGTTATCAAAATTATATGATTGTAGCATTTGGTAATGATGTATTCTCTTTCAAAATATTTATTATAGACTATTACGCAATAATGTAATACTGGTTGAAATAAAGCATATCGGGCAAATATCATAGTTTTTTTTTAGCCCTGATATGGCACTAATTAATGGCAAGAAGTGCCATTTCCAGGTTCATATTGGAACTGATAGAGCCATCGAGTTTCTGATACCAATGGCTCTACGTCTCAATTCCGATATGAATCTGAAATGATACAATTCGAGCCGTTAATCAGTGCCATATCAGGAAAAAAAATATTATATTTGCCCTATATGCTTTATTCATTTTTTAACATGCCTTTCATAGGAAACCACTGATGGTTAGCTATATTACCGTACAAGCGCGGGGATTTAGTTTCAAAATTTGACCTAAATTAAGCCAAATTTAATATAACGCCCCTGTGCGTTATTCGCGCTTATGCGGTATTTAAAGCGCTTATCAAAATTAAAATTACCAATTATAAGATACTATTACCATGCTTTTTTAAAAAAACCAGAGCATTAGAATATTATTAATCTTTGGCAGTGGTATCCTACAACTCCAATATGGGTGATTTATTTTTTATAAAATAATATGGAAAAAAAAAATTATTGAAAATAGAGAATAAGCCTTCCTATGAATGTGCCTAAAAAGTATGAATTGTCATTTACCAACACTAAAGTTCAAATTTTGAACGAATTTTTATTTTAAAAATACGTACATATAGGTAACATCACAAATGATTCTGGACCTTCGACTAATACATCCGCTGATATATATATAATGAATCTTTTAAATTACACATGGGTGACGCAATTTGAAAAGATTTCTTCCTCCTCTGCTAATAATATTAAATTGGTCATTATTGTTTGTTCTGTTGTTGGTTCTATCGTTGTTATTGGTATTGGTATTGGTGTAATAGTATACTATAGACGCAGGATTAATAAGATTAACAGGAAAAATAATTTTGTAGAATTAGAACAGCCACACTAATTAACAATAAGAGGAAATGTTTATAAAACCGAATTTCCTTTGATGATTCAATTATTTAATTTAGATTCCCAAAAATACATATGTTTTTATACCTTAATATGAAATTTGCATTAACATTAAATCTTACTTTATATTAATAATAAAAAAAGAAATGTACCTAAAATTTTTTAATTACAATTTGTAGCTCTGTTGGAAGGACGATCCTAAAAGTGTTATCGTTAAGTATAATATTTCTTTGAAAGAATTTTTATAGTCATTAAGTCTGTCTTCAAATTTAAATGCGTCAAAATTTTTGAATTAATATCTAATAGTTTGTTAAATTCTCTATCAATTTTCTGTATCTATTCAATGTTAAATCGAGGATCAATTTTTAATAAATCGGTTGAATAAAAATTGATTTTTTTAAACTTTCTTTACTTGAAAGTGAGTTCGTCCTCGATACAACTACTCTTGTTATAGTGAAACCCTGGGCTGAGAAAAAAGATTTTCATTATAGCTTATTCAACTCACTCTCATTATAGTGAACTATTGCTTTAGTGAAAAATCGAATTTTGAATTCCGGAATTGGAAGTACAACTAGTACATTCTCAATATAAGCTATATTGAAGATATTTTTTTCTGAGCCCA